TTTATTGTAGAGATGAGGTCTCGCTGCCCAGGCGGGTCTCGAAGCCACGGGCTCAGGCAATCCACTCACCTCAGCCTCCCAAAGGCGCAGGATTACAGGCTGAGCCACCGAGCCCGGCTGACATTTTTCTTTTGATGGTAAATTCTTACAAGTTAAACTTTTTCTTTCAAAATATCATGAAATATTCTATTTTCTATATGGATATTCACAATAGAATAAAAAATCTATTGTTTTCTCTTTTTTATTTCCAAACGGTTGAAGAGATGGCTTATATATAATATTAAGTATAATTAAATTATAATAAGAATTTAAATGTTTAATAGATTAAATATCAAAATATATATAATAATTTTATAACACAATAAAAAGTTTATCAATTTTGTGAATGTATTAATGGACTATGTATATTTTAAAGACATAAAAGGTATATACCATAAACTTTCAACAAGACTGTAAATAGTCATAAAATTTGAATCAAGTATTATTTTTTTGCTCAATTTTTCTGGTCAGAGTTGTATAGAAAGACTTATGATTTTAAAATTGTTCATTTAGCCGGCGTGCAAACAAATACAACTTGTTTTATATTATTCCTACTCTCAAAAATTCACCACTGCCAGAAAGTCTAGGGGCACATTTATGATATTTAACTAAAATTTTAAAAATTGTGTAAATCCTACAATAAATAAATTTTCCTTCCTTTTTATCATCCAGGCAAAAAAAGAAAAAAGAAAAGAAAAAAAACTACACTCTGGAATTGCAAATGCTTTAAATAACTTACTAGTCAGTATTAATATAGTAGCAGACTGACATTTAGAAGAAAACATTTTTGGGGTTGTGATGCTGTTTCCAGTTTGGGGGGTTCATTATATAGTAGTCTTCATTTCAATAACTGAAATGATAGTTGAAACGATAGTGTTACAGTGAATGCAAAAATAATAGTTTGCATGCTTGTATACTTTGTTCACATGTAAAACATGTTGGTCTTTCCTGCCATTTAAATAATGTTAGTTTTAAAACTCATTTATTGAGTTCATAGAAATGAAAAGATATACATTAATTGCTCCTAAGTTATTTTCAAAGGAAAGCCTTTTTCCTTGCCTTTGGACCTAGTAGCTGTCTGACACCTCTTCCAAAGAAAGCACCTATAAAGGCAAAACAAATGCTCAGCAGAGTGTGTGACTACTTTACATGTTTGCCCTCACTGACTTCTGAACTGTTCTTGCTCCAAACCTACCTACTCCACCCTATAGCAGGTAATAAGCATGGTACATTAACAGCAAGGACTTTGTGGCCAGACTGCTTGGTTTCAGAACCTGGTTTCACAACTTGATACCTGTGAGACCCTGGGCGAGTTACTCATTGGCTCTGTGTCTCCTTTCCTTTAATCATCAATAAAGAAGGTGTAATAACAGTATCCACTCATAGGGTTGCAGTAACTTATTGAGTTAATATACACAAAGTGCTTCTTAGAACAGTGCCTGGAACACTATTGCTATGTGGATGTTAACTTTGCTTGTAGTCTTTGGCTTTTATCCTAATCCAATTTTTCCCCTTGTCTGTTGAATTTGACAGTGTTTACCTGATCTCCCTGGTGCCTGACCCTTGGGTTTCCCATGAAAACCTCCCCATGGTTGTACTCCCTTCCGTCTCAGACAAGGCCTATGCATGTTTCCCTGTGCTTGTGGTGGTTTCCACACCTTACATCCAGATTATCTCCTCATAAAGTTAACTCCTTTTGTCTTTCAGTTCTCGCCTCAAACATTTCCTGACCTTCCTAGGCTACATTAAGTGCTCTATGCTTTAAGCATTCCTGTATCCCTTTAATTTTCCTTTATACTACTGAATAAAATATGTAGCTCTGTAGTTATGTAACTATTTAATAAATATGTATCCCCCACTAAAATGTAAGCTCCCTGAAGGCAGGGTCAAAATCTATCACTATATGCCAATCATTACAGTGTTTGGCCTAGAGTATTTCCAAATACTTGTTAAATAAATGATAAATCAGTTTCAGAGATGAGAAGTCTGGAGTTCAACACAGGTGAACATGATTTGTTTAAGATTGTATCACTACACATAACAAAACTAGAAGCAGAATTCAGTTCTTCTGACTCAAAGTGCCCTATTATTTCTAGACATTCAATCTTCAATTATACAATTACACAAAGAACCATGCAATTAGTATTGTGTGAGTTCTAGAATGGAAAGTGAAAGTATAGATCAGAGAGAATAGAATTATTTATCCTGGAGGGATTGGGCCTCCCTAAAGAATTGATATTGAAGGCACGAAGTAGGAGTTAGAATGGGCAAGGAAAGGGGGGCAGAGAATTCCAGGTATAACCATTTACACAGTGGTTCAATGATGAGAAAAACTTGGTGCACAAAAAGAGAGAAAAAGTCTCTGTGACTGTAACAGAAAAAGTAGGAAGTAGGAGATTAAGGCTGATCAGAGAGCCAGGGCCAGGTCACACAAGATCTCTTGTACTAAGGGAAGAATTATGTTCCTTAACTGACATAAGGGAAGGACACTGAAGGGTTGTAAGTGTGGGATAACATGGTCAGTTTCACATTTTCATAAGATGATACTGTCTGCTGCACTATGAAGGATTTGGGAAAGAGAAGTGTAGTAATTGGTTAGAGATGGGGGTCAAAACAGAAGGACATGGAAAGAGGATGCTTAGGTATCTGATATGATCAACAGGGAGGATCCTGGTGCCATTTAACTGAGAAAGAGTCATCAGTAAACAGAACGAGAGTTTAAGTTCCCAACCAAGAGTGACAATTGTTATTGTTGTTGTTTTTTTGTGATTGCTGTTATTACTGATTAATGTAAACCACTTGTTGTGATTGAGAGTGATGGCACCTTTTATGGATTTCAATCAATTTTGCTTTGATGTGTTACTCCCACTGTGAATGTAGGCAATTTTGGATTTGGTTTGAAAAGGGAAGTCATCCCAGGGACCAAGAGAGGATAGGCTTGGGATAACACATGAGGGGAACATGAGAAAACAGTCTTCCTCTTTCTTAAATTTCCTTTACCTTTCCCCCAAGAATCAAGAAATTTTACATATGATAATATGACCATGGCCAACAGATCTATGCCAGCCAACAAGTATATAAGGCATTATTGCTGTATGGGGAGATCAAGTCTATAAAATTAGACTTAATTGGCCTTTGGAGGTGAATAATGGATGATAGGTCAAATAATTTTTGTATAAATTGGGTATGGGGATAGTAAGCAAGGAAATCAAGAAGTATGCGTAGATCTTTGATCTTATTTTAAAATTTAGGTTATATATTATATTTGCCTCATGTGGCAATATGTCATGTTTATTTAGATCATTTACATGTAGTAAAAATAAGTGCCACTGGGGTAGTTAGTTGGCAATACTGATTATGTAGCCTATTTTAATTCTGGTGAGACAGTACTGCCTATACAAGCAGACCAGGAGGTTGCTTATCCTTCACAGCATGTGACTGGTTCATGCCCACTGCCTCTGCTCCCTGGAGATGCAAGGAAAGCAAAGACCATGCAGTAGTATTAGCCACTTGGTGTTAATGAGAATCCCTGTTATCATTATGTTGTTCATCCTGTTAAAGAAGCCCCAGGGCATATGAGGTGGATGGCAAAAATATAAAATGTACTAAAAGGCACGTCCATTTCTGAAGTTTTGAATTCTGAGCTGAGAAAATTGACTGCACTTAATCTGTGTGTCAAATGGGCCTTTTGTAACAAGGCATCTACAAATCAACTAAAGACAGGTAATGAGGGAGTGACAATTATAAGTCCAGATTATTTTGGTTTTATGAGGTCCTGCCTTAATTTAAAAGCAACAGTGATTTTTGCTTAATGTCACACATACCTATTTGATATCATTTAAGCACAATTGTCATTGGAGAACATCATACAAAGACATATAAATTGGTATACAGCAAGGGATTTTAAATGAATGAAAAAAAGGAATATTTCAACTGGCATTCTAAACAAGTTTGACATGCACTTTATTTATACAAGAATACTTATGGAGGTTTTTAATATATTTTTTACTTATACTTTTAGTATATCAATTAAATAAGGAAAAGTATCTCATAATATTTCACTCTATTTAAATTTAACAAGCATATATACATAACTTAAAAGTGAACCTGTTTTCTTTACTACTTTGGGAAATATGTAATATTTTCTAACCTGGAATAATCCAATAAGGTATAAATTACTCCCAGTTCAGTGTAACAAAATAAGCCAGTGTTGAATCATTTGAGCATTTTCATCTATTCCTTACTATGTTAGCCAATCCTTGTTCATATTAACTTCAGAGTTTTAGCTTTTTGACACTTGTTGAAGATAAGCTATTTTGATTACTATCCAGAAATTCTAGAGAGGAGAATATTTTTTTTCTACATCATCAGTGGTTAGAAGCATGGGTTGGAAAATAAGACTATATGTACAAAGAGGACTCTACCATTTACTAGTTATGTAACCATTCAATCTCTCTGTGCCTGAGCTTTCAGCATAAACCTCAGATGCTTATCTGTAAGACAGAATAACAAAGAACCTATTTCAAAGAGTTGCTATAAATGTTGAATGCTTTCTTATGTGTAAAAAACTGAGAACTATGCCTGACGAATAGTAAGTACCCCCAAAATGTTACCCATCATCATCATTTTCCTAGCCCTTATCTGAAGCATCAATTTTTCCTATTTCTCATTCAAAAGATTTTTTTTAGTCTAGTGGTTCACAAGCTTCTCTTTTACACAGATACCTGTATAATACATTGAAACATTCCATGAACCTTCATGTGATACAATCTGAAATTTCAGAATCTCTTGATTGAGAACATGCATATGAACAGAGGGATTTAAGATCCCTTATAATAACTCCACAGCCACTCCTGGGTCTGAAGTTCACTTGGTTAGAAACTATGGTTTTAATCACTAATAAATATATTTAGACTTTTTAAAAAAACCCAGTGGGTCACAGCTCTTTCATCCTCTCTTACCTCGCCCATGACTGCTATGGGAGTCTCTCCTGTTGCCTGAGCAACACGATGTTCTACTAAGTAGAACATATACTCATCGTAGAGTAGACGGATCAGATGGAAAGAGCCAAAGCTAGCAGCACTGCGTAAGGTTAAGTCCCGAATAACCATTGAGCTGTTCCAAGAGAAAAGACATATATGCAGCCAATATTAGTGACAAGGATTAGAGTTCAACCTATTTTGTTCCTCTTAGAATAAATCCAGTTGGGAGACTATAGTTGGCATACCACAAAACTTGCCATGGGAATAATTTCATTATTGAAAGCAGTTGGCCCATTTAAACAGGATGGAAAAGAGGTAATCTTCATAGAGACTTTACCCTTATTAGAGCTGGATAGGTCTTCTCTGGGAAAAGTCATTTTACGACCTTAGGCAAGTCTTCTGATTTGATTCTATTAAACTTGCAAATAGATTAGAATTGAATAAACAAGATTTTTGAAAGGTCAACAACTTATCACCACCCTAAGATAAAGCAATTCAAAGTAAAAAAAAAAATCCAGATTGGAGTGCAGTAGCACATTCACGGCCACCCCAGCATCAGCCTGCTGGGCTCTGGCGATCCTTCTGCCTCAGCCTTCCAGGTAGCTGGAACTACAAGCACGCGCTACCACATTCGGCTAATTTTTTGACTTTTACTGTAGAGATGAGGTCTCACCATGTTCCCAGGCTGGTCTCGAACCCACAGGCTCAGGCAATCCTCTTGCCTCAGCCCCCCAAAGTGCTGGGATTATAGGCTTGAGCCACCGCATCTGACCTCAAAGTAAAAATCTTACTGATGAGGGCTGGTACTCTGTCCCCTTTCAATGATATATCGGCCTTTGGTGTATACTTTGAGATGAATATATGTTATGCCAGACAAAGATTACAAAATAGACTAGATAATGCTCCCAGATTTGGCAATATCGAGTGTTAGGTGAGTGTATACAGGAATTCCACCAAGTTTTGTCTGAAGGCAAATCTATTATGTGGTTCCAGTTTCTTACTGGTTTCTATTTAAATTAAGGTAATTTTCTACTAGAAATGAGCATAATAAAATCAGTTAAGAAGTGCTTATCTTTAAAAAATGTAAACAATTTTATGTAATACCTAAATATAAACAATGCTATTAATAAAATATTAACAATAAATTCTATTATATTCAAAATGAAAATGAGTACAAAAATAAAAGCTTAGGCTCAACATGCCAACCATCAAGTTTGCTCATACATGTCACATCTTTTAAACATTTTTAACTTACATTCAGAGTGATGTGTGTATCAGTGTGTACAAGTGTGTGTTTCTCATCACTTTCACTTAGCGGCCTTTAAAAAAAAATATTCTTGGTCTACAAATACTAAAACAACCATTATATTCTCAAGAGGAAGGGACAGAACTCACAAATGTATATGCTCACATACCTAACCCTTGTTTTCCAATTAAAGAATTATAAAACATCAGACAAATGGGAAAATAACATACTGTACTTTTGCTTTTTGTTTCATTATTCAACCTTGTTTAAATAAAGGCTACTAATACATCAAATTCTATACATTCTACTTGGCAAGTAACAGATCATCACCGTACATCTAAAACTCAGAAGCCCTGGATTCCGATTCTGACTCTTCGTTAATTGACTGTCGACTTCAAACAAATCATACCCTAAAATAAGGCTTTTAGTTTTATCTAACTTACATGGTCATTTCAAAGATAAAATGAGTTAAAGGATATGGAATCAATTTATGAATGAAAAGAATACTATTCAAATATAAGTGATTGTGATTCTAATATGCAGAACAAGAGAAACTGAGTTTCTCATTCTCATTTGTTTGTGGCAACAAGAATAGGGATTATTATGATTAAGGCAGAGGGCCTCTCATTTCTGTTGGTCTATTTATTAAAATATATCTCTATATAGATATCTATATCTATGCATGGTTTGGAGTTAGACTACTATGTGATCTTGGTTTTGATCACATAATTTTTTTTTTTAAGTTCAAACTTTAGCCAGATGGTCAAATGAGATAATGTGTGTGAGACCTTAAGAAAACCACCCGTTACTATGCAGTTACATATATTAGGGTTAATAGTATATCTATTAACTTAAACAGTAGTTCTAGTGAATAATTCTTTAGAATTCCTTAAATTTAGATTTAATGAATTCCTTAAATTTAGATTTAATGAATTCCATAAGTTCAGAACCCTATAAGTTAATTATTAAAAACAGATGAATATTCTCATTTATGTGCAAAAATATATGACAAAATCCTGCTATAATTCTATCTATGCCTTTCCTAAAATTCAGTGACATATCACCCATATGTAAAAATAATTTATATGAATATAATAGCCGTGTGAAATTAAATATTTCTTTTCCTATGGGAAATGTTTTTAAAAGCAGATAATCGTCTCCTTAAAAAAAAAGCAAAAGCAAAAACAACATAAAAATAACAATTAAATGTTATGTTTTACCTCTACTAATACAAACTGGAAACAAATGATTTTGAAAATAAAGTAGGAACAGAATATTTGCTCCTAATTGCATTGATCATGTTGAAGAAAGAAAACAATTTTTTTAAAATTTAAAGAAGACAAATGGCTCACAATCATAAAAAATATAACTAATCTTATCTGAAACTAAATACGTTAAAGTTAAATATATCATATATTACTTATCATACTATGAGAGATGAAAAGACTCAGTGTTACAGAGGGTTTGGAAAGAAGTCTCTCCTTTACTGTCTCTATGAGTATAAATTTACAAAACCATTGTGGAAAGGAATTTGGAAATATTTGTCAAAATACAAAACATCAAAACTTTTGACCTAGAAATTTAATTCTAGGAATTTATACAAATGAGCAAAGATAGTCTTAACTGCAACAATGTTTGTACTAGTGAGAAACTAGAAGGAAAAAACTAAATATCCACTAGTAGGATATTGAGTAAACAAATTATATTTCATTTACACATGGAATTTTATACAATAGTTTTTTTTTTTTTAAAGGCAGACATACTAGTAGTTACATGGGGAAAAGCAAAATACATGAGCTCATTTCCATAAAAACTCTTCATAAAAAACCCTACTCCCCTAAATAAATGGGAATATTTAATACCTTATTAGCATTGGGAGCATATACACTATTAAACTAGTATTAATCACTTTAAAATGTTCATACTCTTTTACCTAAACTTATCCAAAGATATATGTACAACGGTATACAAAGATAATTATTACAATATTGTATCAAAACATCAAAAAAATTGGGCAACCCCTCCGGTCCCCTCCCACTGTCAGAGCTTTTCTGTCTTCTCAACAACATCCTACTTTCTAAAAAAAAAAAAAAAAAAAATCTAAATGTTCACAATAAAAAGGGAATAAAGGCAAGTTTAAATAGTATATAAGACATACACATAATGAAATGTTGTAAGGATACTAAACATTATGTTTCTGAAGATATTTAATGACAAAAAATGCTCTAAATGTAATGGTACATAAAAAACATTAAGGGGAAAATATAGGTAATAATCCATGGTAAACAACCTCGATCTCAATTATATAACACACAGGTGAAAAGTTTTCCTGGCAGAAAGGAGAGCAGATGCAAACTGGATCACACTAAAAGAAAACATTTTACTAGTGGTAATTTCCAGGTAGTAAAATTATGGATGATTTATGTTTATTTAGTCTTTGTATAGTTTTTGTATTTCTCAGATTTTCTTTTTATATAATTAGTTATTCTTTTTTAAGAGATGAGGTCTCACTCCGTTGCCCAGTCTGGTGCAGTGGCATGATCATAGCTCACTGCAGCCTCAAACTCCTGGGCTCAAGGGATCCTCCTGCCTTGGCCTCTCCTAAGCATGCCCAATAGTTTTAAAAATTTTTTTAGACAAGGGATTTTGCTATGTTGCCTAGGCTGATCTCAAACCTCTGGCCTCCAGAAGTCCTCCTGTTTTGGCCTCCCAAATAGCTGGTATAACATTCATGTGCCACTGTGCCCTGGCCTGTATTTCCCAGATTTTCTAATGTGAGCATGTATTAAATACAAAATAAAAATAGTTATTTTAAAAGATGAGATTCATTATAATATAGAAAAACAATACCGAATCAGGACAATGTCAATAACAATCTTTGCAGAAGTAAATATCACAGATATAGAATGAATTCCTTCTTTACATACTTCTAAGTTCAACCTTTAGGCCTTTGTGTTCCTCTTAAAATATAACAACCCCAAAATCACGTAAATGACTAGAAAGAAGGTCCATAATGAGCAATTTTCTAATATCATTTTAGAAATGCAAAGCCAATTTTTTCCAAGGTAATTCACATTTACTCACTCAGTAGATATTTATTGTTTTCCTCCTCTGTGATAGGGGCTTGTTTTAGAACAAGTCAGATAAAAATTTTGGTTTCAGAAGAATTCATATTCTAGTAGGTGAGACAGTCAACAAATATACAAGTAGACGTAACATATAAAGTTAGGTAATAATAGATCTTACAAAGCAGGGCAAGAGATTGAAGAGCGATGGGGGCAGATGTTTCAAGTTAGGGTATGAGGAGAATTCTTCCTGAGAAGGTGATATCTAAGCAGAAAGGTGGATTGAAGTGAGGAAATGAACACACAGGTGAAGAGTTTTCCTGGCAGAAAGAAGAGCAGATGCAAAGACCTTGGAGCAGAACTATGTTTGATGTGATCAAAAAGCAGCCAGGAGGCTAATGTGTTTGGAGGGCAGTAGGTAAAGAGAACACACAATGGTCTCTGGAGGCCATGAGTCACTGGACTCTGTAGGGTTCTACAGACCATCACAAGGCCTTTGGATTTTTATTCTGTGTTTGGGAAACTTTCGAATGGTTAGGCAATAACCTTATTCTAGCATAAAATGTACATGAAATACTAAATTTTGTTGGAAAACTTTAAAAAATTGCTGACTTTCAATAATAATACTTATTTCTGTAAAATACTGACCAGTACGCTATGAAATTGTTGTCACATGTTTAGAAAAGAATCAGTTGAATTGTATCATTAATGCTATGTCTACTTTATTGTCTTTATGTCAGGCCTCTGCCCTACAAGCCAAGTATTAAGTGACACAATTAACAGCTAAATTGGAATCCTATTGTTTGATTCAGACTTCTATAAGATATGTTGTAAAATTGACTCTATCGAATTTCAGGTTGCTAAGTTACCGTGAATCCAACTTCTTTTAAAATCAGAGTTGTAAATGTTAATTATTTTATAATGTTCAAGAAATACCTTTGTATATTTATCTTTTTAACTCACGGTGTGGAAATTGAAACAGACCCAAATACATGATATTCAACCCACTAGTATTTGAGGATGTATCACACTCTTCAGGTGAGACGATCACACTTATGATCCTTACGTGAACTCTCTTTTAAGAGTGCCTACAGCTGATTAAAAAAGAGTATTACTTTTTGGAAGATTCATATGTTGTCCAGTTGTGGGCAAAATGGGTACCCTGTGTCCCCTTTTAAGCTACAGTATCAAAGCAATACATTCCATTCTTTAAAAATGTAATATTTGAATGAACTTCAGGGTAGCCCTGAAGAATATTTTCTTCCGTTATCTACAAAACACACAAGCTGAGAAATGGCCCACATAACTTCTCCATTTCTGCCCAAGAAAGGCAGTGATTTTTTTTTTTTTTCTGTCTCCCAGGGAGCCACCATTAGTTATTCAAAGCCAGGTTAGGCAAAGAGAGACCCCCATTCAAAGCAGAGCATGTTTGCAACAATATATCCATTGCTGCCATCATTTCTCTGCCAGTTCATTTCTACATTTCTAAGCATGTAAATAAATACACAGAACTTTAGAAATTAGGAGATTAAGTATCTGATCTAAGAACATGAAGGGTCTGTATATGTCAAATTTACAGCAGCATTTACAAATTTTTGGCATTTGCAATCCCAAAACATTTTAAAAAATACTCTAGTTCTGCTTCTCTGATAGTTAGTGAATGCAGTTTTCATCACTCAATATGTTCTTCTGTCTCAGAAAAAAAAAAAGTTCAGATATTAAAGCCTTTTAAGTTTCTAAGCTATTGACTTTTCCTACCAGCAGGAGGTATGTATCTGTCTGAATGTGCCTTTCCTTCTGGGGCCCTGAACTGTATGCCTTCAAGTCTTTTTGAAATGAAAATAATAACCATAATAGTGTCTAATAATAACAAGCCAATTATCCCCAACTCAGGGAGGACAGAGGGCAGGCAAGTGATGATCTACTGGGTTTGTATATCTGCAGAGAACAAGAAATACAAGTAATTTTCTCTGCTTTCAAGATACCTGCAACAGATCTCTGTGGAGATGAAGGCTCCAGGGGTGTATTTCTAAAATGATATCAACTAAATATAGAAAAAAAAAAAAACTACAGGAAGGAGTAAGGGCAAGTCTGACACTAACAACACAAGAAAGCAGTATGAAGAAAGAAAAAACACCTTGCTTTTTCTGATATAGAGGAAAAGCACTGCCTTTGGTCACATAACTTTTGGAACATCCAGTCAGTGTTACTGCTATTTCATCAACCAAACATGCAGCACATATACCTTTACATTATTTTCTGGGTAAAAACTTGATGTATAAAAAAATTAATCTCAAGCAACTGGGGAGATGTCTGAAATCTTTTTACAAACGTTCCCAAATTAAAACTTCAAATTCTACCATTACTGCTACTGCTGCTATGTCTACTTTGAGAACACTGTGACAATGTTTTTTAAATCTTCTCCATATTATCAAGGGAAAATTTATACATTTCTCTTTAACACCCAGATCCAAACCCAGCAATGGCTTCACTGAAGCATACCAGTGGGTCACAGAGTCAGCCAACACCTTACTAATGTGCTTCTCAAATCATGTGAACTAAGGTATTAAGTATGTGACAGGCAGAACTGTAGAATTATGCCACTATAAAAACAAAAACAAAACAATACTGAAAAACTGACTGGCTTTCTTTCATTGCATTTGACCCTGGGTTGACACTAGACAGCTATTTTCAGGACATAAGGATAATTTTATTCTTAATTAGACATGTATAGTGGATCTATACCTCTACTTCAGTTTAAGAAATAAGAATTTGGACCAAATCCACCGAGAAAGAAAAAATCACTAATAATAAGAACCAAGGCAATTACCATAATAATTTAAAGATCTCAGGTTCCATCATTATACCCAATGGTGGTCAAAACCAGATGGAAATCCTATAGTCTGAATTTTCTGCATTCACATGTACTACTAGTTCCTAAATTCTATTATGTATTCATATACTTTCTCTCCTCACAACTGGCTTTGGACTCATCACTGTTATCCAGATGAGGTAACTATAGCATACCCACAGCCACAGTAAGTGATACGTCCTGTTGATACCACTTTCTGATATGTGCATGACTGCACAGACACTAAATTAGAGACTACCTATACCTCAAAATAGAGATGGCTCTTAGGCTCAAGTCAGTGAGGCCAGATCTATCTGAAGAAGTAAACTAGTGAGGTCTCACCAAAAGAACAAATGCCAGATTAAAAATATAACTTATTTAACTTATGAAACAGAATTCCATTTGCCAATTCCTTCCTATGTATATGGTGTAAGTGCTAACTTACATGGCTCATAAATGCTGTTTTTAACTCTTGTGGCAGAGCTATGGTCAACAGCTCATCTCAACATTTCATATCATACTCATATAATCAGAAAGCCTTTCCTTTCTTTGTGCTTCTGTTTACAAAATATACATTTCTATTCTCTATTATTTCAATCAAAAAGTGGTTCAAACTACTAATGAATGTTACTGTCTACTACATTATTGGTTATACATTATAATCACTAGGACAGCTTACTGGAAAAAAAATCCAGATCACCCCCATTCCTAATTATTATCTCTTGACCACCAAGATTTTGATTTAATAGGTCTTAGGAGTCACCTAGGATTTTTTTCTTGTTTAACTTTAATTCTGATGTACAGCTAGGTTTGAAAACAGTTAAATTAAGAAATCAGCCAGATGGTTTGAACAAGCATCAGAATCACCTGGAATACTTTTCAAAACAAAATTGCTGGGCCTTACCTCCACAGATTCTGACACAAGTAGAATTGTGGGGAGGGGGGGGCAAGAATTTGCATTTCTAACATGTCTCCAGTTTATAGTAATGCTATCAGTCTAGGGAGGATGATAGCTTGAAAATCGCTAGAGTAGAGAACAAAAAGAATACTGAAGTTAAACCCTCAAGAAAGTAGCCTAAATAATGTACGTTGTAAGAGGCAGGACTGCAGCCCTTTCCTGGTGATTGCTGAGGATATTATCTAGACTGAAAATTCAGATATTTCCATCTGAGAACAAACAGAGCTTTGAGCAAGAGGATTTCTTTTCCTGGCATAAAGTTTATTTCCCTAGATCTCCTGGTACATTCCCATAATGTTGCACATTGAGTTGGGTTGAACAATTTCAACAGGAAGTTTCCACAGACTGAAGTATTCACTCACCGATTTTCTGTTGTCCAAGTAGCATATATACACACACACATATCTGCAGAATATGAAGAAGAAAACTTAGGAAAAACTTAGATGATACCTGTAGAAAGACCATTTTAGCAGAAACTGCCTGGCAGCTTTAGGAAAACTGGGTCTTCCTTCATATGGTTTCAGTGCTTGCATCATGACATTGTCAAGCCATGCAGCCCACTGCTCCAGGGTGCTCTGCTGCTGAAGTGTCATCTTGAAGTCTGTTTCTAGTCTCTGAACCATGTTGTCATCACACTGGCACACCCAGGAAGCCTGTTCCTGGGACAATATACAGAAAGCAAAGGAAAAGTTCAACTCAGCATCTTTTCACTGAATGTATTAGCACATAGAGCAAATGTAAGAAGGGGAAATTATAATAAAAGCTTAAAACAGTTAAATGAACCCTGAAAATGAACAACTACTTGTCAGTTGTTAAGGAAACTATACCATCTTTATCAGTTTTAGGGGATTGGATTAATATTTCTCCTTGCTCATTACAATACATGAAAAAGTGATATGATACATAAGTATGACTTGGTTTTTCTATGTTAGCTAGTCTGTGTGAAAGACTAAAATACATGATTACTTAGAAAAAAAATACAAATCTGAACCTACAGTAGGCATGGTCTTTCACTATTCAGTTTTCACTCTGCCTTCAAAAGTTCTCTCTCTTTATTTCCCCCCATCACTTAAAACATTAAAACTAATTCATTTGAGAAGATCTAGAGTAAGTCAGATGGATAAATAGATTCAATTGGCCAAAAGTGGTCCCTCAAGATTAAAACAGAAACAAACACTGAATGGCACTAGGAAGAAGCATATGCTGTTATGAGTTTTACGGATTGGGAACAGAAATCTCAAGGGCTATCAAGGCAAAGCTATGAATGCAAATTAATTCACAGAACTGAAAACAACAATAACAACAACAACAAAAACTCTTTTGAGAAAATGTAGACATGCTTTCTGCCAAAAAATTGGATTACTGCAATTTTCCTTCTGGTTCTGGTTGGAAAGTTTCATGTTTGCTAATAGCAATGAAAACAGGAACTTTCAAGATTACTTTTCAGTGGTTGCCATAAGTTTTATGTTTCAATGCTATGTTTTTTCTTAAGAGTAAAAATCACTATTATTTCAGGGTCAAAATATAATTATTTGATTACATAATACCTGACTGAGAGTCCGACGACATGGATTTAGATCCTGAATCAACTAAACTGACCTTAAGCAATTAATCTGATTTATGTGGGCTTCAGTTTTCCTAATCATAAAAATTAAATAAATGAAATGTAATCAAAATGTTTAAGCTGTGCCCAGATAATTTTTTCAAGATAGGCTTCTTTGGAAGGGTGTCTGCAAAGGTCCTAATTCTATATATAAATCTTTGTGAATATATTTATAAATGTATTTTTCTGAAGAGAGTGTCTATAGCTTTTATTCTATATTCTCTCAGGACAGATTCATTCAAATTGACAATTTCAACTTAATAAATCCCTAATTTCCATCCTCTGGTTCTAGCATCTCTCCTGATCCTACAGACTTGATCCTATTCAAGGGACACTTCAACCTAGCTACACTTAAAATGCAATATGCCCCAAACTCAATTCACTTTATTTTCCCAGGGAAACTTACGTTTCTTCTATATCTCAGTTGAAGATACCATCCACTATGCTTCTTTCTATTATCTAATCATAAATTCTTTCAGATGTTACCTCCTAGATTTTAAATGTTTTACATACACTAAAATATATTATAGAAAAAATTTAAGGTACAAATAAACAAAAAGGAACAAAATATTAAGAAAACCTAAAATTGTAACACTAAGAGATAACTACAACATATTGATGAAACGAGGGAATCCCAAAATCCAGATTTATTAAAAATTGTGTAAAACAGTCCCTTTGAGGAATTTTTTTTCATCCAGGGAAACAAAAAAATGCACTTGGGGCAAGTTTGGATAAGTAGGGATAGTGGGGCATGGCAGTCATGCTGTCTTTAGTCAAGAACTGCTACACACTTAGTGTGGTGGTGTGGGCAGGTTGTTCCTGTCATGAAATGAGCAAACATGTTGAAAGAATCTCAAAAAAAATTTCACTGAAGCCGAATTCAGTCTCTCACAACAGCGTTAGCTGGTACACTGATACTGATGAGTTCCTAGAACACTTACCTAGTGGGGGAGGCCTATACTACAAGGGGCCTCCTCTTCATAAAATAATTCCATTTTTGGGGGTCCCTCCTTATAAATATATCCTTGATGCCCTTCACATGCATATATAAATATATATTCATGCATATGCATATAATATATGCATATACTATACTATCTATGGATGGATCTATATTTTATTACATTTACAACACATTCATAATATTTATACATAATTTTATAATAGTTTTTATGATTATTTGTTTATGCATATATAAATATTTAAAATAAGAGGATCATATTATACATTCTACTAGATATTCTACTTGGTGGTTTCACCTAATGATATATGATAACCATCTTTCCATGTAGACAAATGTAAAACTATATTTATTGTTCAATGAATACATTTTTTTCATTGCATGAATATATCATTTTTTATCTATAACCAATTCCATATAGTTAGAAATGTGTTTGTTCCAACATGTTATTAGTATGAATAAAGCTAGAATTAGCAGTCTCAGAACTGTATCTTTGCTTACTTTTCCATATACTTCTGTATAATAAATTTACATGAGAATAGCTAAGATATTTTAATGTACACCATCAAATAACACCTAGAAATTCTTTATCAAGTTACATTTCAAAATAGCAACAAGAGAGAATGTTAGACATTCTCCCCAAAAAGAAGTAATAAATATTTGAGGTGACCAATATGCTAATTACCCTGATTTGATCATTCTACAATGTTTACATGTATCAAAACATTACATTGCACCTCCAAATATGTACAATTATTATTTGTCAACTTTAAAAAATGAGTCCATGAGATTACCCAAGGAAAATTTTTAAACATCAAGAAAGCAATAGCAGAAAGTTGTATTTTGCTTTCTTCCTTAATGTCTAAGCATTTTATTGTCATAAAAACACATAACACGCCGGGCTCGGTGGCTCAGCCTGTAATCCCGCGCCTTTGGGAGGCTGAGGTGAGTGGATTGCCTGAGCCCGCGGGTTCGAGACCCACCGGGGCAACTTGGCGAGACCTCATCTCTACAATAAATCAAAGATCAGCCGGGTGTGGTAGTGTGCACCTGTAGTTCCAGCTACTTGGAAGGCTGAGGAGGAAGGATTGCCGGAGCCCAGCAGGTCAAGGCTGCGGTGGCCGGGAGCGGCCACTGCACTCCAGTCTGGGCGACAGAGTGAGACTGCAACTCAAAAAAACAAAACAAAACAAAACAAACAAACAAACAAAAAACACATAACACTATCTTAAGTATTTTTAAGTGTACAGTACAGTAGCATTGACTAAATGTACCACATCTTGTTGTACAACAGATCTCTAGAACTTTTTCATCTTGCAAAACTGAAACTTTACACCAAGTGAGAGACAGGTTGTTTTTGTTTGTTTGTGCATTGATAACAGGATGGAGGAACTTACTGATATCTGTGGAAGAATTTAATTTTACTTCTTACCATAAGTTAAAATTCATCATTTACTTGGCAATTAGTTTTTGCCAAGGGAAAATAATAATCTGAAACCTAACTTACAGAAATAAAACCACAGTACATTAATCTGGTTTTCCAAACTACTTTACATTATGCTTAATTTTACTATTCTTCGAAGTGAAAATATACTAACAAGAGTGACACTGTAAATATTCCCTTGTGAAAGGAATTTAGATATTTCAATTCTATAACTGAAAAAGCAAGCCAGCCGTGATGGCTCACCTCTGTAATCCCAGCACTCTGGGAGACCAGGTGGGAAAATCACTTGAGCTCAGGAGTTCAAGATCACCTGGGGAACATAGTGAGACCTCATCTCTACAAAAAAATAAAAAACTTAGCCAGGTGTGGTGGTATGCACCTATAGTCCCAGCTACTCAGGAGGCTGATGCAGAAGAACTGCTTGAGTCCAGGAAGTCAAGACTGCGGTGAACCATGATTGTGCCACTGCCCTCCCGCCTAGACAACAGAGTGAGACTCTGACTCAAAAAAAAAAAAAAAAAAAAAAGGGAAGAAAGAAAAGCTATGAAAGAACATTATTAAATGGTCTCAACTTACAAAAAATTATATCCAAAATAACAAGTAGTCAGGAGTTTCAAAATCTGAATGCCTTTTAAATGCAGAATCACGAGTATATGCAATAAATAGGTTATCAGGTCAGCCCTAAATCAAACCTATTTAGCCCATAATATAGATTAAGATCTATCCATATACACACAAAAAATTAGAGAACAATACCATCGTAATTCTAACAATTAAATGAAAAAGAAAACCAATTATACTGCAATAGAAAAGTTATCTTGAATGCATGAGGAAAAGATTTAATTAGATAATAAAGTAGTGAAAAGAGATTCATAGATATCCTGAAAAAAACTTCTTTCATTTTTTTAAAAAACATCTTTAAGTTAAACTTGTTTTTTTAAAAAAACTTCTTTAAGTTTAACTTCTTTTTCTTTAGTTTTTCTTTTTAAAACTTCTTTAAGCTCTGAGAGTATTATAATATTGACACTTATATGTGATTTCATTGTTTTAAACCGAAGGTTCCTTATAAGAAGAGCATAACTCTTATATTTGTCAGTTTTGCTGAGGTTAATGCTATGGAGAAAGGACAACTTCTAAATGAACAAAAAATTGTGATAAAGGTAGAATGGAATGCAGGAGACTCTGGGAAAACCTGGCAAAGCTTGAAAAAGAAAAAAATAAACAAGGGAGTGAAAGATGAAATATACTACCTTGAGAAAGAGAATATTCATTAAAATGAACATGGTGGTGAAAAGTAAAATGTAGGAGGACATTAAGGGCTCACCACTGTGTTCATGGTCCTCCAAAGAAAGGAATAAGGTTTTAGAAGGTAAATGCTTAAATCATACAAAATTTGGCACTAACGACTGTCATAATGGACTCAGAAAAACTTGATAGCTGAAAACAGAGGAAGGCAAAGGGTAGTCTCAAAGTTGGTGGGTGGAAAATAAATAATACAGTAAACTTATAATAGATCATTTATATGCAAAGATGTTCTTAAGGTTGGTGTTTACAACAAGGGAAGAACTCCTTTGCATAAATACTTCATAGGACTGCATAAACACAAATGTGAATGTGAAAGCAATGCTAACAAAACATTTACAACCTTCCTCAACATTATTATAAATCATTATTTGAAATGTTTTCTGTTGTTGAACTTAAATTGCTTTTTGAAACCAAAAGTTGCCTTATACCTCAACTTTCCTTTGGGTTCTTTTAAACATATCTTTTCTGAAAGAAAATTTGAAATAAACATTATAGAGTTTAAGGCAATATGAACTTTTAATATTCTCACTAAATCAGCTAATGTAAATTCTAAGGAAATATGTATAGTAGATGGTTTTGTAAACCTGAGACAGTTTGTTTTTATAAAGGTTATGTGTTTGTGTATGTTTCAGACAGAAAGAGAAAGAGAGAGAGAGAAAGAGGGAAGGAAAGAGGGAGGCAGATAGAGAGGGAGAGAGAGAGACAGAGAGAGAGAGGAAGGGAGGCAGAGACAGAGACAGAGAAAAAAAGAGAAAAAAAGAGACAGGGAAGAGAGACAGAGCAAGAGGACAGAATAGAGAGATTTTTAAAAACTTTATATACTATATCAGAAGTTTGAAATCACAATAAACAACTAATTTATCACACTCTAAAATAGTTCAAGCATAAATATTATTTTTTCATATATTTTAAATGATAAAATCAGACAAGAGTGGAAGTTAAATGTGTAGCATATATGGCAACTAGTAATTGATTTTTTTTTTTAATTTTGTTATTATTTTAAAAAAATATGGAATGCTTCATGAATTTGCGTGTCATCCTTGCACAGGGGTCATGCTAATCTTCTCTGTATCGTTTCAATTTTAATATATGTGCTGTCAAAGTGAGCACAATTAGTTTATTTTTAAACAATAATATTGCTGTTTTAACAGCTTTATTGAGATATAGTTCATATATTATACAATTCACCCATTTAAAAGCATTCAGTTCAAAGGCTTCTTTTAGTATATTGAGTTGTGCATTCCCAACCACAATTCAATTTTAGAACTTTTTATTTTCGTAAAAATAAACTCTACACCCCTTATCTGTTACCTCCTGATTCTCTTAATCCTCTAGCCGTAGGCAACCTCTAATCTACTTTTGACTCTTTAGATATATGTATTCTGGATATCTCATGTAAATGGGTGACAACCCATTTACATGAGATATCCAATGTATAGTCTTTTGTACTTGGCTTTTTTCACTTAGCATAATGTTTCCAAGGTTCACCTACAATGTAGAATGAATCAGAACTTCATTTCTTTTTATTGCCCAATAATATTCTATTATATGGATTTATCACATTTTGTTTATCTATTCATCAGTTGATGCACATTTGGGTTATTTCTATTTTTACGTGGCTGATAGGAATAACGCTACTATGAATGTCCACATTTAAGTTTTGTATAGACATGTTTTCATTTCTCTTGAGTATATACCAGAGTGGAGTTGCCGAGTTATATGGCAACTTCTTTTTTTTTTTTTTTTTTTTTAATTGTTTTTCTGTTTGTCTCACTCTGTTGCCCAGGCTGGAGTGCAGAGGCATACTCGTGGCCACCGCAGCCTTGATAAACTGGGCTCAGGCAATCCTTTCTCCTGTTTTTTAAATTTTTAGTAAAACAAAGTTTATTAGAGGAAAAAGAGAGGAAGAAAAGAGAGACATGCCAGAGCTGGCATGGGCGAGAGAAACTGCCGGTAACTTCTATGTTTACCTTTTTGAGCAACTGCCACACTGCAACATTTTATATCCCAACTAGGAACGTATGCAGCTCCAATTTCTTCACATTCCCACCAACCCTTGTTATTATCTGTCTTTTTTATTATACTTATTTTAGTGTGTATGAAATGGTATCTCGCTGTGGTTTTGACTTACATTTACTTTCCGTGGGCTTACTGGTCATTTGTATGTTTTCTTTAGATAAATGTCTACTCAGATTTTTGTTCATATTTAATCAGGTTGTCTCTTTATTGTTGAGCTATAATAGGTCTTTACATATTCTATACATAAGTCTTTTATTGGATATATGATTTGAAAACATTTTCTCACATTCCGTGGGTTGTCATTTTAATTTCTTGATAGTCTCTTTGGAAAACCAAAAGTTTTAAATTTGGGGTAGGTTCAGCTTTTGTATTTTTTCTTTTGTTACTTATGCTTTTGGTGAGCAAAGGTATTGTTTTTATATGGTGACATTTACATTCATTACTTACGTCAGAAATAAAATATCTACTGAAATTGTATAATGATGCTTCTGACTTTATTTTTAAAAGTTTACTCTTAGTTTGATCACATGGTTTGAAAAACATTTTTCATTTGAACTATCAAAATAGCCAAACTTAATGCAGGAGACACCCTTATGGAAACTGGAACTGGCAACCAATTCCTGATCAAAACCCCAAGTGCCCATGCCATAAGAGATAAGATAGACAAGTGGGACCTCATCAAACTGACAAGCTTCTGCAAAGCAAAATAAACCATCAAGAGAGCAGGGAGATAGTCCACAGAATGGGAAAAAATATTTGTCAACTGTATATCTGACAAAGGCCTAACATCTAGGGTCTACAAGGAACTCAAATGCACTGAAAGGAAAAAAAAAAACAGCCCCATTAAAAAGTGGGCAAAGGACATGAATAGACACTTCTCATAAGAAGATATACAGTCAGCCAACAGACACACGAAAAAATGTTTAGGCTCACTTATCATCAGAGAAATGCAAATCAAAACCACACTGAGATACCACCTAACCCCAGTAAGAATGGCCATCATTAATAGCAAACAACAACAGATGCTGGTGAGGATGTGGAGAAAAAGGAACGCTTCTACACTGCTGGTGGGAATGCAAACAAGTGCAACTTCTTTGGAAGACAGTGTGGCAATTTCTGAAAGAACTAGAAATTGACCTTCCATATGACCCAGCAATCCCCCTATTGCGAATACACCCAGAGGAATTCAAAACATTCTACAAAAGAGATAATTGCACACTCTTGTTTGTTGCAGCTCTATTCACAATAGCAAACTGTGGAGCCAACCAGGCTGCCCATGGAAGCTGGACTGGATTAAAAAATGTGGTATATATACACAATGGAATATTATGTAGCCATAAAGGACAAACATATGGATTTTGCAGCAACTTGGATGGATTTAGAGTCTATCATACTCAGTGATCTATCACAGAAACAAAGAACAGAGTACCAAATGTTCTCACTTATAAGCAGACCTTGAACAATTATCATAATACTATAAGAAAGAGACTGGCAGTAGCGGGAAACTGCCGGGGGGGTGGGGGGGTTGGGATTAGCAGTTGAGGGAAACAGCCAAGGGAGGGAAGGGCACACCTCATCAACAAGGGTACCTGCATAATGAACATAACCCTGAATTGTACCCCACATCTTTAAAATAAAAAAAAGCCAAACTTACTGCATCTAATTCTTTTGAAAAGAGTGAACAAATATTTACTAGGAACCTATAGCAAACTCTGAAATAGAGTTGGCCTTAGTTCTTTCAAGGTGGGACACTATAAAAACAAAAATATATTTTGGTGCCATGGTGCAAATGACTAAACATGTAAATAATAATCTAAGATAGGTATTATACGGTAGGGAAAGTGAAGACCAGAGTAGTTAAGTAACCTGCCCAAGATCTCTGTTAGTAGATGGAAGAGTTTGATTTCTTGCCTATCTAACTTTAATGACTGTGATCTTCATTACTCCATTAGCTATTCAACAAGCCCCGGTGAAATATTATGTTGCTTTCTAGAACTATAAATCTCAGGAGACTTTAGTCACAAAACAAGGGGCAGTAAAGACATATCTGAGTAAAACTCCCCTCTCTTTCATGACATTGTGAATACAGATGCTACCTCTGTATCGATGAGCCTTCAAAAGAAATTTGGTGATGCTAATTAAGAACAAATTGGGTCTCTTTCCTGAAAAGACATGTTTGCCAGAAAACAGAGTACCTGGACATTGGCAAAGTCGACACGGTTGAGGTCATTGAGCATCTGGTTGATTTGGGAAGTGTTCTGAAGCACTGCACGAGCTGCCTGGGCCAGGTGATTGAGCGACGTGTATCTTCGCAGAGTCTGGGCAAAGGCACTTACAGCGGCAACCTGTAAAGAAATCCAATTATGTTGGAACTCTTTTCTCCTCCAGTAAAAGAAATCACTGCAATCTTTGAATCGTTTTTCCCTTGCCAAATTTTTAACACTCCCCTCTGACACTTATTTCAAATTCATTTGGTAAAAGAGTTTACTTGTAAATTATAGCATTTTAATTTCTAAACCAAGTATTACTTTCCTTTTAAAAGTATGTTGAGGTCAAGACTAAAACAAACTCCCACATTTTTAGACATCTGAGTGCAGTATTAATTAAATCAGTCTAACAAGTAACTACTCAACCACAGCAAGAAATGACTTTGTCTAGGGAAGCAGGAAAAAAATGTTAGTTTTCATTTATTTTTCTTTTTTGCTCTTTAGGACAGTCAACTGAAAACTAGGTAAGTTTTAAAAATCTCTTTTTAGAAAACAAAACTACACATATCCACTTTTTAAATTGGATTTCAAAGAATACATTTCAGAGAATTACCATTCAGATTTATTCTTATTACCTTTATTTTATAAACATGGGTGAAATGATAGCATTCATAGCCTTTATTAGTAAATATATAGCTAATAAACTTCTCAAACAACTAGAAGAACTGTTTTTCAGAGTTTGAATTTCTTTAAAAGGGTTATCTAGGATCACTCTAATGCCTCTGATAATGTACTTTCTACTCTTCTCCATGCTGTTCTGTGCCCAGGACGTTTGACCTAAAAACATTAATCTCTTTAGTCTTATGGCTTCCAGTTGGGTTTAACCAGTGATAGGTGTTGGTAGGAGAATGAAGACTGTGAAGAAGGAGCGTTGGAGCATTTATTCCCAACAACCTCTGCTTTCACCCTGTTTGAACAGAACCTGCTTTTCTTTTCTAAGGCCATCATGGTCATGGGGAAAGAAAGAATCTCCTAAAGCCATAACTTTTACCTCTTACCCTTTCAGACCCAGGGATAGTTAGGACTTCCCACTATTACTAGCCCTAGGGTGCTTCAGCATCTCTCCTTAGTTTTCTCAACTTTGTTCATATATTTGAAACTCTTCTTAAACTCTCTTCAATTTTCCCCTCCTCTTTGGATGCACAGCTTGTTTCCTGCTGGGACCCTGATCCAGTTTATGTTAAATGATATCACAGACAATGAAAAAAAAAGATCTAGATAAATACCTAAATCTCATAATCTCATGGAAATTTTCTTACATGTACAACAGATCTAATGACTCTAATCTTTTAAAAACTATATTAAAAGTTTTAACATATTTACATGAAGGCACAGTATTGCATTAAATCATTATGGGTATGTAAGAAGTAACTAGTTCAGCAGTCAGTATGCTGAATGGTGGAGGGTATTCACAGGGCAAAGAATGGCCTATCTTGATAGTGAGCTATTTTAGGACTATGTGGAACTTGGAGGAAGCACATATACCCTCAAAAAAGTCTTACACTGTTTTCTATTTTTATTGTTTAAATTAATCCAGTATATACTACGTGCTAGGCTCTGGGTTAAGTGCCTCACATATATTATCTTGCTCAATTCTTATAACCATCCTATTATGATTTAAAGAGTTTAAGCAGCTTGCTCAAGGTTACACAGAAACTCCACTATAGTGGTGGGATTTGAACCCAGACATTTTGATTCTAATGGTCATGGTGTGTAGAATGTTCTTTCCTCTGTCAAGGTAAATTATCTTCACTGACTGAGTACTCAGGGGGAAAAAGGCTGCATATCTGTGAAAGTGGAAGGGCAGAAGGCACTGTCTACCATGGTGAAACATCCAGATCAACTCTGGAGGTCAATGAGATAGCCAGTTTTGCAGCTAGATTGCTACCACATTTGACTTGATGACTTTGGGAAGTGAAGTTTTTTTTAGCTACTTGAAGTACCATTTCAAATGTGACTGACTTTGAAATTTGCATAGGATTCTTCTATCATAATCAAGTTGAATCTCCCTTTTTTGTCCAGTTCAATGTGCCAAAGAGAACTTTAGATGATGATGGATATTTCTATATATGGGCAGCCCAGTATGGCAGCCACCAGCCACATAGGGTTATTGAGCACTTGAAATGCAGCTAGTAAGACTAAGGAACTAAATTTTTCATTTCAATTAAATTTAAAATTGAAATTTAAATAGCCACATGTGCTCATCCTACTGAACTGACAGTACAGCTATAGAGCAACAAGCAATTAAATGCTGTTTTCTATATGTTTTAGAAATAGAAAGTCTTATTGCAAACTTTAAGCCAAAGCTTAAAGATGAGAGCTACTTGTATTCCCATAGAGCCTTATCAGCCTCAAGAACTTCAATCTATTAACTTTGTCTCCAAATTAAAAGACAAGGCATACTGTTGGGAGTCTGATAGTAAATATAGTCACTGACAAAAAGCCATGAATGTAATTTCTGGATCAAAATTTATTTAGATAAAATTTAGAATCAGCCCAATTTTGCCATGGGGACATGCTCACCAATTAACCTAAAGTAATTTGGCTAGTAAGGGATAAAGTAGAGACAAGAATTCCTATCTCCAGCTAAATAATCCACTTTCCTGAGATACACTGATCGAATTACAATTGTTCACTTGAAGAAACTATTACTTGATTCACAAAAGTGTTCTCCTATGTTAAAAAAAAAAAAAAAGCAAAACATGCTGATGAAGGAAAAGAACATTAATTTATATGAACATTTCAGAATATGATGAGTATAATAGGAAATTTTAAAAATTGAAAATTCTTTCAAATGGGAACTCTTGAACATTCTAGGCTATTCTTTTTAATATTTCAAATTAAGCATATAGGCTTATATGCTTTTGATATATAGTTTAGAATATATATCTAATATGCTATTTAGAAAAGGGCTTGTAAATGTGCCACAATTAAAATGCTTCTCTATTCTCTTTGAAAGGAGCATTATCAAATAATATCTCTTGTGCAAGTCCTTTACTACATGGTTATAAAATACAAATATAAAAATCAGTTTCAAAAGATTCTATATTTTATAATACCATATTTTTCATTACACCCTTTGAAGTTCAGAGTTAAGAATAATTCCCTAAACACAAAAGAAAAAGCAAAGACATAAAGTGCACCTTGGTTTGTATCATTCTTTGTGGAATATTGTTCATGGCATTGGAAAGCCAACCTTCAAGGCTTTTTGCAAAATTTCGAATGGCTTGGGTCAAGGCACCTAAATGTTAAAGAATAAAAGCAGAATGAAAAAGATACCAAAGAACAATAATCTTTATGCTAGAATAAGGAAAAACACTTGTACACAACATCTGATAAAGCACAGAACTCATATTGTCCTCATTGACAAAAACTTTAACAATATTCCTAATTTTTAAAAGCACCAAGAATTATACTTTGGGCTTTTTCTTTAGAGTTATTTTGTTCCCAGATATTTCCCAGGCACTTTCTTTGGGAAACACAAATATTCAAACATTTTTGCTTATAGCAACATATACCAGTTGTGAATATACATATGGAATTTTCTATCTTGGACAAAACACTCTTTTCATTAAGTTTTTTGCTAAAGCCTATGTATTTTCTTTGTAAATTCTTTATCTGTTTTTTCAAATTCTTAATCTATTTTCATTTATATAGTTAAAAAGAAAAATAATGCAAAGCTTTCTCTCTTTCTCTATGCATCTGTTTACTTAGAACCTATAAATAGGAGCAGTTGTCTCATTCATGTTGAAAAGTAAAGTAAACTGTCTTGTAAATTTTAGATAACTATTTCCCTTTCACTTGGCAGGTAGAGATAAAAGATCAATGTGATAAAACTGCTGTCACAGAAACTGATATTCTTAAAACATTCCTTAAAAGTTCATTTTATATTCTTCACATATGTGTTAAAATCTGAAACAGGGATAGGTCCCATGACAGGAGATTTTAAGGTGGCCATAAAATGATTAGAAGCATCTTCAGTTATCAGTGATGACTATGACTATTTCATAAGAAGAGATCTGCTTACGGAGGTTGCTATATATCAGGAGACAGAATTCTTCTCTTGTTCAACAAGTAATTCAATCAGTAGTATTTTACTTCCTCTGTGCCCAAGGTTCAGTAGTGTAGGCAGCAGTTTTCGAAATGTAATAGATAAGAATTTGAAGCACCCACAACATAAACTTAATCTCTAATTTTATCTGCTCTAATGTGATAGGTATCAAAATATGTTGTCTACTATAAGAAACAGAGAAGTTACGTTTTTGGCCAAAGCTCCCAAGAACATTAATATTAATGATGGGCTTAAATTCCTTAGTTTTTCTCTCTATGCTCAAATGAGTCAAATGAGACAGACGTGCTTCTCTATTATGTTTGTTAAAAGCAGGTTTTAGAAATAATTTAGTTTACTCAAGTTATTTGGAGAAGATATAAATTTTACCATCCCAATAATAAAAACAACTAAATGCTTTTTAAAAAAAAAGTTGGTTTAACTGGTCAAAACTGGACAGAAAAGATTGAAACGGACTAAATTTTGGTTAGTAAAAACACTCAAGAAGAGCAGCTCTTAGCCACAAGAATCATCTATTGGAAACGCTGAATCAGAAATTTCTTGAGAATGAATCTTTTGAAATCTTCAAAGTTTCCCACTTTATCCAAAAGAGAAAAAAGAAAAAAAATATATTTTTCTGTTGTATTATGTACTAGAACCATGGAGGGCAGGCATGAATGGAAATGAAAAAGAGTGAAAAAAAAATTAACAACCCTCTTTGAAACAGTAAAATTTTATTCAAGATTCAATTTGGCAATCTGGATTTTTTATTTTTCCTACAATTAATATACAATAACTATTTAATCTGAAAAAAATTCAAAAACCTATAAATGTTACTTTAAAAAATTTAATATGGGCCTTTTTTACTTAGATAAATTAGGCATAAAGGAGACTGTCATATAAAAAGATATTTTGTATATTAAATAATTGTGAGTTTTTACTTTTTTGTACTAAATGATATTCTTGGCTACCCTTAATTGTACTCACAATTGCACATTTAAGTATTACCCATTGAGTTCTCATACAATACTTTACAATTAATTTTTTTCATTTTTTCAGATAAATGTATTTTAGAATATAGTAGCTTCAAGCTGACTTTAAATTAGTGTGATATGCAGACTTTTTAGCTAAAAAAAGAAATCCCATCTGGACAGAAAATGGTAGAGTGAAGCACTAGTAGCCAGGAAAATACAATTTTTAAAAATAAAATAAAATTTGCTCTCTCTACAACGATTCACGTAAGTACAAAATTGTGCAGATTGACTCTAACAACTTTTAAAGACTCATGAATGGATGGTTTGGAATTTAAAATCTATTCCAAAGCTGACTTGTCTCAACCTGCTCAAGATTAATATTAAAATCCATACAGCCAGAAGATAGCCATCTAAACTGTATTTTAAGCTTTATTTTGCTAAGGCCTATTGTAGAATGGGAATTAAATTTCCAAATTTCCTTGGTAGGGTGGTAGATTAGTGCATCTTGTAATTTCAGAAAAAACTATAAAACTATTCACATATCTGCTGAATGTGGAGACAAACTATTGACAGAACAAACTGATTTTCAAATTGAAATTTGCAAAAGACAAAGGTCAAGTGTATCATGTATTTAAGATTATGGGGCTTAAAGTCAACTAAAATCGATACAATTAAAATTAGGGAACTGTTAAATTCACAAGTTAATATCTTGTGATGCTGCTATAGAAACAAGATATTTTAGAATTTTTTAATGAATACTGATGTTGATTTGCCTCAAAAAATAAAGCATTCACTGACATCCCTTCTTATATCTCATGAGAGAAACTGTATATTGGTGGCAAGATGTCATAGGCTAATGAGCTAGCCTATACAACTTCTGTTAAACATCTCTAGAGATTATCAGTCAGCACAGGGAGCAAGAGAAAAACAAGGAAAATCCGATTCTGGAACATAAATCAGTAGGGAATTTAGATCGTGAAAATTTCCATGACAACATCACTTTTAACCAATCTTTAATCATGAAACTTGGTGCAGATAGAGTGGAACACATTAATAATCTATCAAATTGTGAGACAGTGTTAGCTAGATTTGTTTTAATTACTCCTATATAAATTGTGTTCATTTATATTATATGTAAATATGTTTAAACATATATTTTTAGGTGGTGGGGAACATATAACTCATACCTTCCACTGCTGTCTATTATATTTAGAAAAAAAAAGGAAGTCTAAGCATACAAATGTTAGTATCTTTACCTTCTACTAAATACTTATTTTTATATTTTCTAGAATAATTTAACACAAATAATCTGCAAACAATGTACTTGAAGTACATGATTGCCAATTGCACAAAATAAATGATTGCTTTTATTTTATTAATGTCAACATAGAGTAGACACTGTCCCATTTCTTTAAAAGTTAAGGTCACTAATATGTGCTCATATAGACGTAAGCATAAAATAGTTTCAACTGCCTCGGACAGTATCTGTAGTAGCATTTATACTGATAACTTGCAGAAAATAGCTTTGTTTGTTACAAGGTAGTTTTAAAAGCATCATACTTAAAAAGGTAATCTAACCTATCTATGTAATTCTGATTTTCTTTGTAGCGGGATTACAATGCTTGTGTAATTACATAGATTTTTCTCTCAAAATGCCAGTTTACCATACTGTTCATGGAAACTGCATTCACAGTTCTTAACAAATGACAAAGTAAATGCTTTTATAATGGAATTCAACTTTACTGGAAATCAAGATAAATTCATTTCAAATCAAAAGAAACCATGAAAGAGACTGGTCTAGCAATTACAGATTTCAGTAATTTTTGGCTTTATGAGGGGGGATTGTGTCCTTGGGTAGAATAATTTTTAAATGGTTGACTGGCCTGGTAGTTTCTGTAATTAGTTTATTGGATCTGTTACATCTACAGGCTGGCTTTTTTTTTTTTTTTAATCGAAAGATTGGAAAACAAATCATCTTCTCCTTTTTACTACAGTTTTTTTCTCTATGCTGCTTTCATGCAATACTCTGTGCTGCATGTTTTCTATTTGGCAAATCTAAATGAAATTAGAATCATCCTAGATTGCAATGTCACTTCCCGAAACTTCCTGGGTGGAATGTATGAGAACAAAAGCATCCGTACTCGTCTGCATTTAACTTACTAGGAATAGGTCTAAGGACGTCGGGGATGAGAATCTCCACCAAAGCCTGGTACATCCCATGGTCACAGTTACACATCCATTTCAGGATAGACTCATGTTTGCACAGAGTTATCAGCTTTGCTTTCGGAAGTCGACTTTCTATTTCACTCAGATTGCTGGTGTGAATAAATGTAGCAAATGAATAGATGGCAAATGAGGATAAAAAAGAAAATGGACTTTAAAAATAGTTTAAGTTTACCAAATATTACTGAGGTTAGAACTATACCACCATTGCATGGATGCCATACGGCTGGATATATATATAGAGAGATATATAAAACACTCCCCCAGAGCTGCCTATGTACATTCATATTTTCTGACGGTATGAAAGGCAGATATGATAGTAATTTCATGAGGATGAAATAACTCTACTGTAGTCCCCCAAATCAGTACGATCGGGAGCTATATATATATATGTATATATATATATATACACTGAAACCTCAAGAGAGCAGTTTGTGGTTTATTTCTAGGATGGCCAATGCACCAATCTACTCAATGTTATCAGGTAAAGTTCACAACTGGTATACATATCTCTAATTTATTAGCTGTGACATCTACTCGGCCATGAAAATGAATTGGAAAAGCATATTGATTCTGACCTCGATTCAGTAATGGTAGTGCCATCAGTTGGAGTAGAGGGAGAATAGCGCCAGAATGTTTGCCACAATTTCTCTATCAGGCTAAACTGAAGATTCACAACAACATCCAATATTGCCTAAAAAACAAAAGGGATCAGTATTACCTTACAATATGATTTATGGAAGTTTGTGAGGAGAGTCTAATATGATGAGATTTTATGTGGTAAAGAGCTACCTTGACCTATAAATTAACATGGTGAAACTACACTAAATTTTGCCAATGGAAGAAACAAGGAAATTAGCTAGGAAAAAAAAATACTTCTTGAAAGATTAAGCAGGGTTACATATTTCTTTCATAATGACCTCAGACCCCACTCCTCATGCTTGCTTGCCTTCTCTCCATTTTATCTCTTACTTTTCCTGCATTCTTTTATCCACTGCGTCCTTTTGCCTCTATAGTTGTTGCTATTCTACCTTTTCTGAGACTCAGAAGGGTATGGAACACAGATTCAATTTATATCATTCCTCTTTAGTCTAGGTAAAAGAGGGCAGAAGTAAAGGGTGCAGAGGTACTTATATGTGGCAGATAGAATTAGGACTGAATTAGCTCTGTCTTAGCTGCTGATCAAGGGTTCCAGGATGTTCCCAGCCAAGGAGAGGCTGGGGCAGAAACCATGGAGTCAGCAGGCCTTCAGACAACAGTACTTCTCTGGGCATAGCAAGCACTGCCTTCCAGTCAACATCAGAGAATCCAATCTTGTTTCTGCATACTTCCTTTAGATAACAGCTTTAAGACAATCCCTTTGTAGACCTTGGGGTCTCAACTCCTCTTTTTCCTAAATTTTATCTCTTAGAACCATTTCCCAGCTGCATTAACGGCATTTTTAAAAATAATGCTAAGATCTACCACTTCCCCTATTAACCTTCAACGGTCATATTTAATTTTACCCTGCCATTGCAATTAGTTTATAAATTAACCTGCAGATAAAAGCAAGCACAAAACCAAAGAATAACTTGTATATGCAAAGAACACATGATTCTGTGATTACCTTCAGCATTAAAAGATAGAAGTAGTCAGTATAATGTGTTGGATGTCATTAGCACTGAGAACTAGGACAAGTAAAGGTAAAATAGTCCCATTAAGATCCACAAAATTCATGGAAGTTAAGAGACTATAGGGGACAATCTAGGGAGTCTATCGGAGTATTTTGGGCAAAAACAGCAAACCATAACTTTGTAATTCCAGAGGTTGGACCACCTGAGTAGATCTGGCCCTATAAATGATAAAGAAAATAATATGATGTTTCAAACATTCTAAGACCAATTCAAATATTTAAAAAAATCTGTTTGGGGGTACTATCTGGGAACCAGGATAAAAGGTTGCAAGTAGTTGAAAAATGAAAATGGAGAGAAGGAGACAGATTAATTAGCACACTCTTCAGTAAAATTAAAAATGCAAATTCAAGACTTGAAAATAAAGGGTATACATATGTCTCTCATCCCAGGCAAAAACCAAAACCCTCTCAAGAGGCAAATTATTGTAACTGCTTTCTCAAATTGCGACTTAGACATATTCCAAGAGATGTCTATAAAAGTGTAAAGCAACTATTAATACCTTACATACTTCTATAAATGAGATTGCTATAAGAACACTGTGCACATTTGTCAAAAGAAAAAAGTTGCAGCAACTTATAAAAAATTACACTTGCTCCTTCTATAACAAAATTAGTGATGTGTACAAATATCTTCGATAAACAAATGGTAAGAATTCCAAATACTAGGCAAAGCAGGCATATTAATTTTTCTTTAAAAATATAAACTATAGGAAATGTGAAATAAAGTAAGGCAAGTAAAAAAACTTCAGTGCCTCTTAAATTTAGTATCTCTTCAAATTAAATAATCTCAAATAACTCTTTTGAAAAAAGGCATTCACATCAGCTTAATTTGGGACAGTTTTACAAATGAATAAAACATTTCATCATTTGTCCACCTACTTTCAAATATGTTCAGGCTAAAATATATAGGAAAGTATAAATTAAAATAATCCATATTCTCCTGGTTTAGGGAAAATGACTATTTACAAGACTGGATAAGAAATTTATGCAGCTACATTTCAAAAGTTTTGAGGTTTGACAGGAAAAAATAATTCAATTTTTAAAAATTTTATATATGCTGCTCTTACCCATGAGAGAGATGGCACGAACACTAGTAACTGAAATAAATGGGGATTATTCTATGGACTACCGTCTCCCACAAAGACTATTACACATGTCCCTTTCATGTAATGTATATTTATTCCTGAGAATTGGTATGTTGATGAAAATTTTATAATCCAGACTATTTTAAACTTACTGAGAGAATTTGTCACTTAGAATAATCTTACTGTATATTCTTTAGTAATGTAAATAATCCTGCTCCAACTTAACATTTTGACTAAATATGAGAAACTTAAAAAAAATCCCTATAGGTTGATTTGTTTAAAGCAGTTTCACTTGAATACAGAGAAGTGAGAAACTGTTTAGAGAAATATTTATACAAAATTTTAATGAATAAGATGTTAGATGTAAAAAGAAAGACTTTTCCCCCTATATACATAAGGATAATCCAGAAATTCTCTAACCCTGGGAAAAGCACAATAGTCAAAGGGAAATGAATATTAAGTGGTTTTCATCTTTCCAAAAAATGCTGAAAACTGACAGGGCAAGCTGAAGAACTCTTCTGGCACACGCTATGTCAACAAGGAGAGAACTTGCCCTTGGTTCTAATAACCTAGCACCCTTGACAAGCACTCAGACTTTCTTAAGCAATTCTTATTTCTGGAGTGGAAAAAAAAATCTGTAAATTCTATGAGCCAAGACTTCTTACTGCATACTGCATTGTCAGCAGTCGGGAGGACTGCCTAGGAAATCCAGAGGATTATCTTTTACTCCTAAGTAGATCACAAATACCCCTGGAATAAAGCTACTTAAATTCTAAGTAAACTCCTCTTTCAAAAGGAGAAGCACTTAAGAAAACTCTTAACTGTAATCCGTTATCCCCTATCTACTAGGTGAATTGCAGATACATTAACATGCTGGCATGGAGAAATCGTACCTCTTAGACAATAAAGCCAATTCTGATGTGGGATACTCAGAATGAGAGCAGAAGTAGGGAGAGAAAACACCAAAAGGAACCTTTATTAACCACTAAAACGAAACAAAACAAAACAAAAGCTTCAAAGATCTCTGGAAGGAACATCTGAAGTGCTTTATTAAACATTTTCAGAAATTGTTTTCAATATAAACACACACTTATGATATAAAATTCAAAAGGTAAAAAGGGTCTATTGAAAAATTAAGTGTCTCTCCGCTCTCAGTTATCCAGTTTCCTTCACAAAGGCAAGCACTGTTAACATTTTCTTGTTCTTCCTTGTGGAACATATTACTTTTTCACTCAAATGATAATATGTTATACATACTTTCTTTGCACCTTACTTTTTACTTTAACATTCAATCTTGGAACTTGGTTTATTTTAGTATGTTTAGAGTTGTCTATTATTTTTAATGGCTGTATAGTATTTACTTTAAATACTGCACCATATTTTATTTATCAGTTTTCTATTAGATATTGAAATTATAACCAATCTTTTGCATTAAAAAGAATAATGCAAGAAATTCCCTTGTGCACTTGTCTTGTCACCCATATGTAAGTATTTTTGTAGGATAAATACCTAGGAGTGGAATTGCTGCATCAAAGGATTCATATTAGGATAGGCTTAAGAAATGGAGAATAAAATTTATTCTCACTTTTCAGCATTCCTCACCTCTCCACTCTGAGACAAGAAAGAAGAAAAATGAATTTGTTAGTGCTAAAATAAATGCTCAAAAAAATTAGTGCTAACTTCATCTGTCCTTTAGGAATAAGCTTGATTATTTTGTTTTAGCAAGTTGTCTGGCAAAACCTAGCATGTGTTCATACTATGTTTGAAAAGACTTACCTCACAGTGCTCTCGATAAAGACTCTGCAGTGACTTGATATCCTCAAAGGTAGTACCATCTGGCAGAGAAGAAATTTCAACTTCTCCAAACTCTGGAAGTGCTCGAGATGCATCTGTTACCATGACAACACAACAGAAAAAAGCTATTGTAGATGGTGCCAATTACAGATTAATGAGGGAAAATTTAAGAAGGCTAAAAAGAAAAAAAGTTTTAAAGGTCAGAGGTCCAAAGAGCAAGAACTTTTTATATTAATGTTTTACAAGCAAAGCTTAGCAATATTGTCAGCACAAAATATAAGATCCGAAGAATTTTGTAGAAACAAAACTTTCACTATGATCATAATGGAAATAGCATATCACATATCCCAATGCCTCACAACACAGGGCCCCTATTAAAAGAAAAATATCTAGAGCTTGCCAGTATTAATTTTAGTTATTTTTACTATGTTACTTAACTACATAAAGCATAAATCTGGCTTTAAACTTATTATGTCCCTACCTCTTAGATAATCATAAACCAATAAGAGCTACAAAATAAATACAAAGAAAACTACAAAAATAACAAACTTAACATTTGATGTGACAGATGACACTCTTGTCCTGTAACTCAATTATCTCTCATAACACGAATGTGGTATTGACTGCTGCAGGACAGGATCTTATGAGGTTGACAGGCCTATATCAACATGTGCACTGTGATGGCTGCTTCTCCCAGCACTCTTCTGTATGCAAAAGATTGTGAAAACTTTTCTCCACACAGAGTACAGGGATGCGATTTAGCCTTTCCTTGGGATGAAGGTGTAATTTACATAGCAAGTCTCTCTCTCTTCTCATTAGCGCTGGACAATTAATATAATACATGTTGGTGCCAGTCTTACACATTCAAATACAAATGTGGAGACTAAAATAGCGAGCAGTATTTAGTTCTAGTTCTCTGATAATCCAAAATATACTTATCTTTTAAAATTATAATTGAAATAGTAGTATAAAAAAATTCTTGTTGAATGCTCAAGTGTCCACAAGATTATACCTGAGGACTTTAGTCTCTGGTATAATGCTACCATGTTTCAACTTCAGTAGCTAGGCCAACCTGAGAGTCTATTTTAGTTGTCTTTGTCAAAAAGTACACACAGACACATATACACACACACAGGCACATACACACACTCACTCTCTAATAGTTTCTATTTATCTCGATCTGTTGTATAGAAACTATGCACATTCATCTCTAGAAGCATTGTCAATTACATTAAAGTGCCATTATAGCTCCTTTGGCAATGGTAGAATATATAAAATGTTCAAGTTCCACTTTCTAACTCTTTCAGTAACAAGAAACATGTATACCACTACAAATTACAAAAATAGAAAGTACTGTAATTCATTTAAAAGAATAAATTACTTTTTAAGGTTTATACTAATTTCTTTTCTAGCCTGAGACTAATGCATATGTACTTAATACATAGAAAATAAGAATTCTTATTGGCACTTGAAGTTAATCACTGAAAGTAAACACAAAGTACTTTTGATCATAAAAGCCAATTAATACAAATTCTGGAAAACAGTTTCATAGTAATGAGTCTTTAACTTATATGCATTTAAGAGTCCTATGTAACTCAAGATTTTAAAAAATAAGCTCTACTGAACATAAAAGTAGACATAAACTAGGACTATTATACATATGATGTGCATAGTTTCAGCACCAAAAAAAATCTTTTTAGGTAATTTATATCTATAAAGACATTGCAGTTGGAGAAAAGACTTTTATTGTTCTCCTTTCCAAAATCCTAATAGCAACTAATATACATTACACCTTAACATACCTAAAAACTGTTGATGATGTTGACTTTGGGCAATTACAGTCTGCTCAACAGATGTGCCTGTCTGTTGACCACTTCCTGTGAAACCATCTGCAACCCCATCCACTTTCTGCATAGGCTTGTACCTAAAATATTAGATGGGAAAAAACAAATAAACCAAATTATTCCTTGTTTTTTTGTACTATCCAAAACTCCCAAGGCATTCAATTTCATTCTATCTTTTTTAATGTTTCATGATAGATGTAGAATTTTTCTCCTTGATAGTCTCATAAAGTTAAGATTTAGAAATTTTTTCAATTGTGAAAAGAAAAAGGGGTGAGAGGTAAGGGGATGTATAAAGAGGATCCATTTTTGAAAATCTAGAAATTTACCTAAGAATGAAAGAATTATATTTATTTGGACATAATCAGTAAAAATGTCCATGATTATAGTTTTAATATACAGTTTGATAGTTAGTTTTCATGGCCAATGGATCAGGGTGGAAATATTTTTAAGAACGTTGAAACTATGATCTAAGAGCTCAGGCCTGAAATGTTGGTGCATAGCTTTCAAGTAGTTAATAGCTCTATGATCAGCCGACAAATTCCACTATGCTGTTTTTCATATCTCCTAGAAGCTCTCATGCATCTGAACATATTTATCTCCCTTGACACTTATCCATATCCACAAATACAAAGGCCATAAGCATCTGTTTTCAGCAAAATATATACAAGAATACATCTTCAAACCTAGTTTACCAAATTAGAAAAAAAAGAGTCAAAGTCAGCCATAGTTATGTATTTATCTTTAGATCCTAGTCATACAAACTTATGTACTTTCCATACGGCTAAGACAGAAAAAATTGTGCTTCAGCAGCATGGACAAAAGGAAAAACGTCTTGGGAGAGAAATACTACATACAAAAAAACAAAAGAAAGAGCCTGGGTAAGTCTCCTAGACAAGCAAACGTAAAATAAGAAGTAACTATAATGTATTATTTTCCTTTGGTTAAACTTATTTTTTTTCATTTTAGAAGTTTAGAAATAGCAGAAAAGTTTGAGAAAAAATTAATCTACAATAAGCTTACTACTTCTCATTATGATGTCTCTCCTCCCATTCTGGTTTTCTTATTTCTAATTATGTTTATAAGCAAAATAACAATATTCTCACCAACCAAAAGCTTGACTCTTATGCTAATACTACAATTCAGCTGCATAATTAACATGAAATTATTATGAATAACAAAGCTCCTAATGTGTGAATAAGACATAATCAAAGATGCCTGCATTCTGATAACATATATGAAATTAATAGACCTGGTGAAACATTGTACCAATGAATGCTCAGATTGCCTTAGGAAATTATTCAATTTTGGATGTTATCAGTTATAACTTAGATGAAACTTCCAAGAAGACTGCCAAATCTCTCATAATGATACATTTATTTCTTACGTGACAGTATCTTACAAATAACCATGAAAAGCAAAAATAAAATCAGAGGATGAAAAGGGTGAAAAATTCATCCTTATGATTATAATTTTAGTGATGATCTTCTCATCACTAAAATACTGACCACTGTTTCCTAATGATATAAAATAACTTAAGCCTGGTCTTTTATTTAATGGAAAACCTTTAAGAATGAACTTTTTATTTTTAAAATGGGGTCATGCCAAGAGATAACAGGAGAGTTAGAAATTTCATTTAGGAAAAAGTTAATGTTTTCCTAATTTTTTTTTTTCCTTCTCAAAGAATCATCTTAGAGAAAAGCAAAGAAATTTTGTGAGGCAAGTACTTTGTGTACTTATGTGGGGGAGCAGTTGGTAACCATTTTGTTCTAGCAGATTTGAATGCTTTTATTCTTATTTCATACAGGGAAGTGTCTTGTCTTCATAGAGTCGTTCCAAGTTTCATTTGATTTTAGCTTCCCTTTTCAGCTATGAAATTTTATGTTGCTAACAAAATAGCCTAAAATTGTTTAACCATGTTTTTTCATTTAAGTTACTACAGTTAGGGATTTGTGGAACTTAACTAAAGCTGTTAAAGGATTTGAATTATTCACCCTAGAGAAGGGAAAAATAGAAATATTTTTGATAGACTTCAAATACACTAAGTTTTAATACAGGATTATAAAGTTATTATGAGATTTTGACCAGCTATGCTTTATCATATTTCCTTTGTCCTACACAGCATTTAGCATACTGCAGGTACACAAGTATCAAGGACAAATGAAATTTAATTTTTAAAAAATGACAAATATTTCTTTCAGACTGTAAGTGTTCAGAGGATTGATGTTATGTCAAAATCGAACTGCACACAGTGCTTAGGAAGCCTGTAGCCTACAAGCAAAATTATTTGCCTCCTTAGGAAGATGGAGACAACTGCTAGTAATATAAATGGTGGAAGTTCCGAATGGAAGAAAATATTATATTTTTAACAATCAAAATCATGATGCATTACAATTAATGTATGAATGTTTAATAATAATGACACTGAATAGGAAGCACCAATTAGATGTACACTATATTATGTGGGAGATGGAAAAGGCATCAAGATCAACTTTCATGGGAAAAGAAGGAGATAAACTGGTAAATTCTGGAGAAACTGGGCAGGTCAGTATTTAAGAAAAGGTCTTACATAGTTGAAATAAAGAAAAACAGAAAATATAGTCAGAACCTAGAAGAAGGCATTTTCATTCTAACCAAAAGAGTAAGCAAGGTGAACAAAGATTAGCCAAAGGAACACTATGTACATCCATTTTTGGTTGCTGTGGCAATAGTACCTGTGTTGTGCCTCCTGATAAAAGATCTAGGGACAAAGTTTGGAATGGGTTTGTTACATGAAGAATGTCATCAGGAAGGGCAGGAATATGGCTCATATGCAAGAAGGTTAGTGTGGACCTGTAGGTATGAGAGTGCTTCCAGGTAGTGCTAACTTTGCTTTTCCCACTTTAAGTAATGGATTATGTCATAGTATATCCACAGTGTATTGCCTGGCATTGAATTGGTACTTAGAAAAAAATCCTCAGATACCTGAAATGTTGAACTGAAAAAGGCTAGCTGTTCATTCTACTCATACCCTATCCGCGGAAAACTTCCTATCCCTACCAACACCTCAGAGTCTTTCCAAAGGAGGAGGAAGTTTAACAGGAAGTTAAGAATAATTACATTAAAAGTAGGCTAAACGTACATGGGCAACTGATTCCAAAAATATTTGAGAATGGGGTTTAGGAACTGATTATTTTAACAAGATTCTGAGATGTTTCTTAAGAACCTTGCACAACCCTAAGCCATAGGAGCCTCTTGGCCCAATATAGATTTCTTTAGTCCATGTTGTAGAAATACATCAATCAATATTAGAGAAAGTCTTTTTTGTCATCAATTTTCAATTTTTCCAAAATTATATCTGGAATGTGCAATAAATATTTTTAAATGAATGAATGAGTGTTCAAGGTAACATTTTATTTGATCATCCCATCAAATGATTTTTGTGTAAATCAATTTAACAAATATGTATTGAACACTTACCATGTGTAAGACACTCTAAGTACATGGCTTTAAAAAGATTGGGTATAAATATAATTTATCAACAGCCATAAAAACAAAAACTACATGATTATATCATTATATGAAGAAAAAGCTTTTGATAAAATCCACCACCCCTTCCTGATAAAAACCCTCAAACATCTAGGCATAGATGGAATATACCTTAAAATAGTGAGAGCCATCTACAAGAAACTCACAGTCAGCATACTGCTAAACAGACAGAAATTGGAACCAGTTCCCTCAAAAACTGGAACAAGACAAGGATGCCCACTCTCATCCCTCCTGTTCAACATAGTATTGGAAGTCCTAGCTAGAGCAATCAGAGAAGATAAGGCAATCAGGTGTATCCAAATGAAAAAGACGAAGTCAAGCTATCTCTCTTTGCAGACAACATGATTCTATACCTTGAAAACCCAACAGAATCCGTCAAAAACCTCCTTGCACTGATAAAAAACTTTGGCAAAGTCTCAGGGTATAAAATAAATGTGCAAAAGACAATCGCATTTCTATACACCAATAACAAACAAATAGAAACCCAAATAAAAAGCACAATTCCATTCACAATAGTCACACACACAGAAATGAAGTACATAGGCATCTTCCTAACCAGAGATGTGAAAGACCTTTACAATGAAAACTACAAAACACTGCTCAAAGAAATCAAAGATGACACAAACAAGTGGAAAAATATTCCATGCTAATGGATTGTAAGAATCAACATTGTTAAGATATCCATTCTACCTAAGGCAATCTACAGATTTAATGCAGTACCCATCAAATTACCAGCAACATTCTTCTCAGACCTAGAAACAACAATACAGAAATTCATATGGAAACAAATGACCAAGAATAGCCAAAACAATCCTCAGCAAAACACACACACACACACAAAAACCAAAGCAAGCGGTATCACACTCCCAGGCTTTAAACTTTATTATAAAGCTACAATAATCAAAACAGCCTGGTATTGGTACAAGAACAGGCATATAGACCAATGGAATAGAACTGAGATTCCAGAAGCAAAACCCCAACTTCTCAACTAACTCATCTTCAACAAAACCTCCACCACCTACCACCGGGGAGACGAGAACCTATTCAGTAAATGGTGGTGGGAAAACTGGCTGACCACATGCCGAAGACTAAAACAGGACCCCTACCTACCCCCATACACAAAAATTAATTCTAATTGGATCAGAGGCCTAAACATAAAACCTCAAACTATAAGAACCTTAGAAAATGCAGGAGACACCCTTATGGAAGTTGGAACTGGCAACCAATTCCTGTTCCAAACCCGAAGTGTGCAGGCCATAAGATATAAGATAGACCAGTGGGACCTCATCAAACTGACAAGTTTCTGCAAAGTCAAAGAAACCATCAAGAGAGTAGCGAGACAGCCCACAGACTGGGAAAAAGTATTTGCCACCTCCATGTCTGACAAAGGCCTAATATCTAAGATCTACAAGGAACTCAAACATGCTGAAAAGAACAAAACAAACAGCCCCATTACAAGGTGAGCAAAAGATATGAATAGATAGTTCTCAAATGAAGACATACGAGTAGCCAAAAGACACATGAAAAAATGTTCAGCCTCACTAGTCATCAAGGA